TTACAAATACTACACTAATAACTAATTAGCCTTTAAAAAATATTTGATCAATCAATTTCATGTGGTGGTCAGTAATATTGTAGCCCGAGAGATAGGGATTTTTTTCAGTGTATTTTTATTCAGCAATTCACTTTAATCTATATTATAGTTCAGTGTGTACAATTATGTATAATAATCTTACCAATATACAGACATAAATTGATTACTTAAAATAAGTAACAACAGGCATACAGCTACTGATATTTTTCATACTTAGGTATCACAGACAAAAAAAAATTATTATTAAGTTTAAATCAAAATCAGGTAATTAAGTTGTATTAAAAAAAAATAATAATAATAAGAAATACCTACAGTGAAAGAAATCATTAAAGGCTTATCAATTATATTTTAGGAAACAATGGAATAATTTATTTTTCATCAAATAATAGGTACTTAGTAATATACTAATATATCATAGGCTGACTGACTGTCTTCCCTCAGAATCGTTTTTCTTATACAATTATATTAAATCATTGAATTAAAATTTAACACAATCTATTACAGTGACCCACTTGTATCCTACGACCTACTGTACAGCAGAGTGATACCAACTTTTTTTTTACTTTTTCTACTTAAGTTATTTACCAGGTTCATTCGACTTGTGGTGAAGAATACCTCTTTAAATTAATACAATTAAACGTAGTTCGACGAATCAATCTCCATTCGACATCATGTATCATTATACATTTGAGTTTCTGTTTCTTATTTCATATATTTCAAAGGTGCCCTCATTCAATAAAAACAATTTCAACATGCGTTTGTCAATTTCACTATTATACTGAGTTTGTGTGTCTTTATTAACACACTGTCACCAATCTTATTGATAATGGGTTTAATTTGTCACCTGTGCGCTTCTCTACGGTACCTCAGCGTTTGTGCGTTGTACTTATCGTGTTATGGTTATCCTGTCGATATTATTTATTACTGAACTAGGTTGAAAGTCTATGATATCAACCTATAATGTTTATAAATTATTCAGCTGAATAATCACATACCATAGCAAGAAAAGTACAATGCACCAACGCTGAGAAGCCCACAGGTAACAGACCAATCCCATTATCTATATTCTATAGGATAATTATAATATGAGGACGGCCCCATAATCTATAGTTAACAAGTTAGTCTAGTTACAAGTTACATCAGGAAACTTGAAAATTTGTGTAGGTAGACAAAAATTGATTTGAAAGCTGAGGACATAATATTATTATGTGTATATAAATATGTATTGTAACAATTCGGCGTGTTTGGGGACTACTACGCTCTGACTAGCCAAGGGGAACACTATGAGCCAAGCCGCTTTGTGCTATTCAAACATTTTTTAAGCCAATAATTTTTTTAAAAATAAAATAATAATAATATTATTAAAAGAGAATAGATGACACTTCGAATATATATTTTAGTAGTATAAAATTAAGATATAAAATATAATATTTAAATAAAATTTGAGAAAGGGGAAATACTAAATGTTTGATATAAATTTACAGGAAACTAAATGTAATGATACAAATTAAAACAATTTAGGTGATTTAATTATGGCTTATATACCAAGGTAATATTATAATAGTAATACAAATATTAATTAATAAATAATTTTGCCCATCACATCATTTGGGAAAGACTTTTTATGGAGATACCTATAGCAAACACATGGGCATTAATATCCAAAAATTTAAATTATGTTGTATCGGGAGGGATATAACAATTTGTCGGTATTAATTTACAGCAAAGAAAATATAATAATAAAAATAAAATAAAAGCATGTGGTAATTTAAATATAGTAAATACGTAATGGTAATTTTATAATAGTAATAACAATACAAATTAAATAAAATGTACAATAATAATAAACAATTTGGACTGTAACATCATTTGTGTAACATAATTTAATGGACTGTCTATAGCAAAACAATATATTAAGAGTGTAATCTTTCAAATAATCATTTTAAATTTATAAAAAATAATAATACAAAAAATTTAAGCAACAGTCATATTAATTATGAGAAGGATGTGAGTTGACTTGGTTCGTAGAGAAGCGTTCGGTTACCACTGTAGTAATCTTTCTAACTGGATACATTGATCATCTCTGCAGTACCTAAACTGGAGAAATTCTGTAAATTAATTAGGGATAACAATAGCAATATTTTTTGGGAAAGTATGTAATGTTCATAAGATTGTCATTTTTTTTGGCAAGGATAACATAATATAATAAAGTAATAAATAATTACCAATATTTTTTTATGTTTTGTTAAATTATCAATTTAATTTTAAATAAAACTTAAAATATTGACATTAGAGTTCTGGCATGCATGCTATGCTTATAACATTTCAGTCCTTGTTTTGGAGTTTACACTTAACCAGTCACCTATGAGCCAATGAAGAAATATTGGCGGAACTCGTAGGGTTTGATAAAAATAAAAAAATAAATATATAATAATAAAGTCAATCAATGAAAAGAAGAAATATTTGGTTTTAAGGTTAATTGTATTAATGTATATTAAATAAAATAGTGGAAAGGAAATTAACTGGGGGAAGGTTTACAATTTTTGAGTGTAAAACTTTATAATATTTCTGCTTGACATATTTAAATAAGGAAAATATGACCTTTTTGAATCATATACCTAATCTAAACTAATTTGATATTCATTATTTTTTTTATTCATTTTAGATTTAACATTTTAAATTAAAATCTAAACATATTTCAATGTTTATAGTATCAATACTATAATGAGTGTTGAATAATAGAAGAATCGCTTGGTATAAGTATATGAAATAACAATATCACAATTAATATAAAAATAATCTTATTTTTTTTCTCAAAGGAAAGACTAAAAGTGGTCATGTTCAGATAAAATTCATGTCGTGTTCGACCTGTTGACTTCAAATGAATTTAACTACTACAACCACGAACAACTTTTTCTCATTCTGTTTGTCACTCTAATATTATAATACAAAATGTATGTAAATATTTCTGTTAGATTGATTTTTGATAGTTTGTCATTTAAATTGTAAAGTCAAAAGTGTACCCTTTATATAGTCATCAGTAGGGCTCTGATGGTAAAAAAAAAATGCAACATAACATAAAAACTCTACATTTTGTTCAGAATTATTTATGTTAATGGTAAAAATAATTAAACAATGTTCATACTATTAAAATTAGAATTTGAAAACTTGTTTTAATCTAGAAAACAGTTAAAAATATTTTTTTAATTATTTTTCATAACAGGTTGATAAAACTCAAGTATTTGACTGGTGGAAAATATGAAATGTAATAATGACAAAAAATCAACTAGTAATTTTTTCTCATTTGTTAAAAAAAGTGACCTTTAAATGACAAAAATGAGATAAAAACGAAAAAAAGTGCAGAATATAAATTATTTATATAGATTCATATGTTATTGAAACACATTTTAAGCTAGGAAATCATCTATAATATTCCAAAAAAATATGCAAAAGTCATCAACATCTAGAATTCTAGACTTAAGTTATAATTTATACAACTATTATCAATTATAAAACATATTAACATAAGTCTTAGGTACCTAAGCAGTTTATTAACAATAACTTAAAAAAATGAAAATGAAATCTATTCTAGATTACGCCAAAATATTTTAACTATGCTCTAGTTTACCATTTTTTTAATGATCTTTGGGTTAGTATCTTCTGATAATGAGTATATATTTTATTCTAATCTTGCCTGCAGATTAAAGAGTGACCAGTAGAATGTATGCGCTCCATGAATGAAAAGGTTTTGCCCACTTTTGTTTGCCCAATTTGTTCAATTTACAAGTAAGCATCTATGATCTAATAAAGGTTTTCCTACATGCCATAAATAGTGAGATATTCAAAATGAAAATGTATTCTATTTCATAAAAAATGAATTAATTGTGATTATAGTTTTAGTTTGATAGAACCTTTTTATTCTGATAAGTATATGTACATGTTAAAATGTTCTATTGTCATGCTATTCAATGTTGGTTATTATTAGACATTTTGTTCAATAATACATAGATGTCGATGATACAATAAAAATATAAACTACAATAATATTGTATAGTATTTGTGTCATGTTATTAAAAGTTTGAATTTAAAAACAATCCCAGACATCAGGATTGTAATATTTACAGTATAAGTCGGTAATGACGAGTTTCAATTGCTAGCTAGTTTTTTTTTAATTGTAGCTTGTTATTTATGTAATAAAAAGTGTTCGTTGTAACCTGTCAATCTTCACATTAAAAGGAGGGATGGTCAGGAATTAGTGAGCAAATAAGACCACAATTCAGTATTAACTGCTGATGATCCAACCTATATTGTGCCTTAAATTTAAAGATAAAATATATATATCAATAAATAAATAAAATATTACTAACAGGTTGAATAAATATGTATATAATTGGAAAAAGATAACGACTGGCTCTTTATAATTTAATGCATTTTACTCGTTATAGCCAATAACTCGTAATAACCATAATCGGTACATTTTAACATACAATCATATTATGGGCTCAAGCCTGTACCTAAAGTTTTGCATGTTATAATCAGTATATCGTTTTAAGCGATACTCGTTGGTGATTTCAACTGTATATTGAAGTACCTAGTATTAATTTTAGTTTAAATAGAAAATATTTTTAAAAGTTTTATGATTTTTTTTTAAATGTTCCACATTCATTAGTTCTCTTTAATGTTGTGGTGTAATATAGTTATCAAATTAATAATTTTATAGCGTATATACTTATAGCGATTTAAATATATTGGCATAATTATAATTTACAATTGTTAGAAGAACAATTTATAAATGATTTTATTATTATTTTATTATTTTATATTTGTATGCACAATATTGTATAATATGTATTTTGTAATATTAATAAAATATGAATATATGCTAAGTAATTATATATATTTTACTCACCCAACATCTTCTTCTCCGTCTAATCTTCATCGCCAAAATCTTATGTTATTCCTTAATTGTTATCACTATCTTCTTCTTCATTGTCAGAAGAAGTAGACGACGAAGAAAAATTATCTTCATCGCCGAAGTCTAATTCTGTTTTTTAATGTTGTTCATGGTATTCTTCTTTTTCTTTTACTTCTTCTCAATGTTTTCTTCTTCAGAATATCTTCTTTTTCTTCTTTGCCTTCTTCTCTTTTGTCTTCTTTTTCTTCTTTGTCTTCTTCTTTTTTTTCTTTTTTGTCATTTTTTTCAAACAAAACATTCATATTATGAATGTCAACAGATTCTTCAATGTGGTCATTCAAATGTAGAACTGGCAATTCAAAACCATCAGATGATGGTTCCGCTTTTCTTTCTTCCATTATAATATTATAAACTTCTTTTCTTTTTTTCTCATTCTTGACCACCTCATCAGTATGGAACCAATTTTCCAAGTGATGAATTGGAAAAGTGTAATCAATAATTGGCCGCTAAAAATATGGAATGATTTAGTTTATTTTTGTATGATGGTACAATAATTGTTTAACTTACAGAATAAAACATTTCAAAAAAATGCATTACAAAAAGACCACAATCCGTTTGATTAGGTTGTTGAGGTACTTTGACTGTACATGCTTTCATAAATTGAAAGTCTTTTTGTTGGCCATTGTATTTATTAGAATATTCATGCTGTAACCATTCTCGTAGTGTTGCTGAAACCATTGCGTTTGACATTGTACTTCTGGCGTATGAATCAAATATTAAAATGCAAGGCCTAAAACATAAGTAAACTTTAAAAACTTTGCCTTGGATTAATGATTGATAAATTTACCTTTTAACTAGTTTATTCTTTTTTTGTGTTTTTAATACTTCCACATCGTCATAATATTTATCGTATCTATCTTGATTTTTCTATTAATACCCAGATTAAAATTAATTACATAATGTACAAACAAATTTAATACCTACACATATAGTATGTTAAATCTTAAAAATATTATTTTGAAATTTGAATTATCTGAATAATTTATGGAAAAAAAAATGCTTACCATGCTTGCCTGTGAACATAAATCAAACAGCCAAAGATCTTCTACATTCGGATCAGCTTCATCGAGTCCACAAGTTACTGGTGGAAATGACACTTTATATCGACCTACAATGTACGAGTATTTGATATAAACAATTTTTACTGACAATTTCACATATTCAAAATAAGCTTATGCCTCATAATAGTTAATGTACAAAATATATTTAATTTATTTTGATGTATTTAGTATCATACATTTATGAGAATTACTCCTTAAAAATACTTTTAAAAAAGTTGTATAGAATTATATGTTTTGAGCGTTTGACATATTAAAATGTTGACTAAATATGTATGAAAAAAAAATTGAATATCCATTTAAATTTACAAAAAAGTATTAAATTTAAAAGTAGAGCTTATAGTAAAATAACAAATCAAATACAAAACCAATATGTCAAACCCTCCAAAATATTAGTCTCTATTACTTTTGTAATGGCTGATCTTACTCTAAGAATACTTATAACAATGAATAAACAATTTTGAGTAAATGTATTTTCGTCTTATATTGTTTGTTAATAAATTATTATAGTAAGTTACTATTAATGTTACCACGCATGTATATTTAAGTTTCAAATATTTACCAGTATCATCATCAGGTTCATTACTTGGTGTTCCATTTTCTATGTGAACCTTACCTGTTAGGTAAGGAAAACATATAACAGCCAGGATCCAATGACCCCTAAAAAAAAAAAAAAAAATGTATGTAATAATAATTCAAGTTTTTTATTTTAAATAAATAATTAAAACATTTTTTTGTATTACTGACCCTTTGTGTATTGGTACGAAAATAAAATCTTTTTTGAATACATCCAGTCTCCTTGTCCATCTTTTTACCTTATTGTGTCTATTCTTAGAACGAGATAAAGATGGATCATCTGTACATAAATAAACTGGCTTTGTTAAGCTAGTGTAGAAAAGTGTGCTGAATACATATGACTTATCTTTATCCTTATCACTTAGTTTACTATGCATATGCCTACAATACAAATAATATTTTACATGAAGTTATTTATAATTACATAATATTAGCTTGTATAATTTTGAATAAAATAATTTACACCAAATAAAATTCAATAAGTTTATCATTCATCATCATTCCTTTTTCCAACAATCTATAGTCATGTATTTTGATTTCAAATGATCTACCATCAATTTTAACCTCCAGTATACTAAAAAAGAATACAATACATTTGAAATCAAAGTTTATCATGTTTAACAGATTTCAAACTTACTTCTTCTCTGATAATTTATCTCGTTCTCGGTCGATTCTTCTGCGCTTCTCGTAATTCATGCCTATGGTCTCTATTGAAATATACCCCGGATACTGCATTTTGTAATTATAATATTATTATAATAACTTTATACTAATATTATTCGTTATTATAATATTATAATAATATTTTTAAACAAAAAATTGCATTCAAAGGAAGTTTCAGGGCAATATATAGAAGAGCCTAAAAATAATAAATAAATTATTAAATGGTTTTAAATCAAATGAATAAGTAAATAAACTATAAAATCAAGTTATATATATTAAATACTAATATTTATAGTATAATAATTATCTATTTCCCTTGGCTTCCCTCACATATGAGTCGTCTTTTTATGATGAGTACCTAAGTAATTTAAACCTTAAGTAGTCTATGTCCTTTTTTTAGAATTTAAACATTTCCATATTCAATTTCAGTTTTTTTATAGAATACAAAGATATATTTAATTAATAAATAAACAAAATCTTAAATTGGCTACCTTTGATTTTTTTTTTTTAGTTGGTTATTAAATTATGTATACTGTCAATATAATATAATACAAAAAAAAAAAACGTTGGTTTACTTTCAGGATATGACGCGTCTTGCATGTAAAACCATTGATGCATCATGCATTTTAATCTAGCAATGAATTAGTTTATCTTATCTACTAATACTAATACGCAAAAAAATAAAAAATAAACATTATGCAGTAAATAATATAATTGATGAAAACAATATATTTTTGTATTGTAAGAAATTGAGGATTGGGGAGGGGCTTTTCAAACCATAACTTAGTTTTCATTCTTTTTAGAGATAGGTAGGTAGGTATAAATTATTGTTAATTTTAACACTTTTTAACAAATTGTTTCGGTGCCATGAGAGTACTCGTTACGTACTTAATCCTAACTTGGAATTTTAGAAATTATTTTTTTTTAAGTAAGTTTTATAATTTACACATGATTGTCATAAATTACCTTCAAAATCTAAAATAATTCTAAACCTCACATTAAGATATGAAATTAGGAGTTATTACATCGTAAATAAAAATAATCTGTAATTGGTTATAATACCAAACAGTATACGGATATACGTTTTCTACTTACTATTGTATACTGTAATGTATGTTTTCTAATATTATAGAGATGAAAGATTTGTTTGTTTTTCACAAATAAACTCAACAACTATTGGACCGATTTCAAAAATTCTTTCACCAATAGAAAGCTACATTTTGCCAGATAAAACAATAAAGAATAAGTTATTATTAATAATTCAAATAAATGAGTTTATATACCTATTATGCTACATGAGTGAGTGTGTTTGTGTGTGTGTGTGTGTGTGTGTGTGTGTGTGTGTGTGTGTGTGTGTGCGTGCGTGTGTGTGTATAAATACTGATTGATAATACTATGATGATATATACTATACTAAGAATTATAAGAATAAAATACATGAAATTCCAGTGGGCACGCCTGGACATAAAACAACAATAATATTATGATTTCCATGATTTTGTATTCGTATTTAAACGATACATAAAAATTAAATAAAATAAATTAAATAAACGACGAAATTAACTCATTCATATTTTCAAAGAACGTGTACGTGAACGTTGAAAAAAAATATGAATTTGAACTTGAACGAGTTCTTTTTTTAACCACTGAACGTGAAACTGAACAATTTCATTTTTTTAGTGAACGTTCAGAACACTGGTATATGTAATAATGTATAATATATATGCTTATAATGTGTGTGAGTGTGCTCCACGGTAGGGGTGCCCATGGGTAAGCGATGGTGGCCACAAGGGTAGGGGTGTCCGCGAGGTAGCGGTGGTGGACCCATTTGTGGAGGATATGGTTTCGGAGTAGTGGCAGCTGGATGATGTGTTGCCACTCTCTTTACCACACTACTGACGTGTCACTAAATAACCTCGAATAAAAACAGAAGCATGGCTCTCATAACCGACTAAACTATTAAACATATACAAATTTGTTGACTACGTGTATTGAAAGATAAATAAAAAAAAATATACCTAACCTTTTATATTATACAATTAAAATGGTATTTAACATTTTTATATTGGCAAAAAAAAATGTTTAAAAATGTGTAATGTTCAAAAAGCGTGTTGACCTAATACTAAATTATAATATATATTATAAGCACAATGATTTAAGGTACCTAAACTTTAGAGTGTAAAACCTTTCCTTATTCCTGAGTTAATGACTGGTTGATTAGGTGGTTGATCAGCTGGGAGACAAGTTGCCGTGAACCGCGATGACATTGTGTGCGAAGTTAAGATAAAAGACGAACACCTGAATTGCAAAACTGAATGTACAGAGGATTTTAAATGTTATTACAAAGAAACACTAATAGTATAAATCACACTTTTCAAACACTGTCATGGACCTAGTTATGCTCGCTGAACGTCACCGAAGGAATTGACGGTAGTGGTCTGAGTCCGTGCGCACTACTACAGTCTGCTCGCCCCCCCCCCCATCGCCCCACCACTCCAGTAAACTGGTTAGGTGGGACAGTCGACCTTGTAGCTCTGTTGTCGGTGGTAGTTTTTTTTTTTGTTCAAGTACACAGATTATCGATAGAATTCCTATAGGACAGGGGTGGCCAATCTTTTTTTGGTCATGATCTACTAAAAATGTACTTCACTTTTGAGGGACGACTTTTATAGAACATTTTTTTATCATTGAATAACTATAATTATTAAGAAACATACTTGCTTTAAGTAACATACAATACTTATTATGAACTAATTACCTTCTAAAAATTAAATAATAATCAATAATAATTTCTAAAATCTTATTACTTAAGTTAAATTAACATATTATTTTGTTGATCTGGGCATTGTTAAAATGTGACATTGCATGTCGTTGACCATTTGGTCGTAATCTGGAAAATAGTTGCTAACTGCTAATCGAAGACACTGCTCCAAACGGTCATCAAGGAGTGTACCTCGATAGCTTTAGAAGGGAAATCTATATCGAATTTTGAATGCATAGTTCTAAAATGTCTTTCTAGATTACTTTTTTTTGTTACAATAAACATTTGACATATGAAACCAGATTAAAAAGTAAAAATTATACAGATCGTGATTGTATATTGTCCAAGATATTGACCTAAATAAACAACTAAGAGATCCCCAAGAAACCATGGTCCGAGCAGAACATATCCGGTCGATCTGTTTGTGACGGAGTGACTCTGTGAGGGAGCAACGACAAGGCCATGTCGAAGTCCTTGCCCCGGCGTGAACGGTGCATTGACATATAAAGATATAATATTTACATGCTATGGGATTTAGCATGATGAAATTAAACCTAAATAAATAATACATTTTTTTACAAACTTAAATAAAAAAATTTCTATGCTATAAATTATTATAATAAAAAGTTTAAGCTTATCCCCTAAAAGATTTAAATTTAAATTTTAATATATAATATCAAAATAAATTTTAAAATTATAACTAGGTAACTCTTAAATAACTAAATAGAATTAACCTTAAAATTTAAAAACTATTAGTATTTTATAAATAGTTATAACACAAAAAAAATAATAATAAAATGAACTCGTAAATGTTGTGAATTAAAAAAAAATTAAAAATTTTAATTAACCCTGATACAAAAGGTAATAAAAATATTCTTTTAAAAATGTAATTAATTCTTTCACAATACTATTAAACTATAAATCTATAAATTAATTTTTACTAAATACTAAAACCCTTAATAAATAAATTACTTTTATAAAAAATCAATAAAAAATATAAATATTAATAACTTTAACTTGAACAAAGTTTAACAACATCTTATCATTATAAATGATATACTTAAATTTAGATATTTATTTATATCAAATATAATCTTTCTAAATACACTTTCCAGTACATTTACTTTGTTACGACTTGTCTTATTTTTAATAAGAATTACGGGCAATATGTACATATTTTAGATCTTTATTCATAGGTATTAATTAAATAAATAAATTTACTATTAAATCCAATTTCATTCTAATTTTCATTTGAAATCCAAAAATAAAATTTAATGTAACCCATTATAAACTTATTTATCAACCACATCTTGACTTAATAACAATTTTAACAATAAATAAATAAAATAAATTTTTAAATATATTCATGACAGCAATATATGAATTATATAAAATAGGTAAAATTAATCGTGGATTATCAATTAAAAATTAGGTTCCTCTAATAAGACTAAAATACCGCCAAATTTTTTAAATTAAAGAACATAACTTTTAATTTTTTAGTAAATTTATTTAAACTTTTTTAATAGGGTCTAATCCTAGTTGTATACAAAATGTAATAGAATAAAATAAATACAATAATAATTTTTAATTAAATTTTACTTTTTTAAAAAATAAATTATAAATTATAATTAATACTAATAACCAAACTATTTTATTTGTATACTATGTTTGACTGCAACTGCTGGCACATATTTAGTTTATACTAAAAATAATAATTAAATCTAAATTTCTTTAATATTTAATTTTTCATACTGAGAATTATTAAAATCATTTAAGAATTTATTAACAATCAAAAAAGTTCATGTATTTTCATAATTAAATAAAATTTTATAGGAAAATAAATTATATTTATATATATAATAATAATAATATGGTTTAACATTATATAAATATACAATTTTTAATTTAAATAATGATTAAAAAATTTTATATAAATTCAGCAATCAAATTTAATTAAATAATAATCATAATTACTCAGTTTTATACATTTTATACATTTTATACCCTTAAAATTTAAATTAAACATTAAAACTCGAATAATTAAAAATACATTTTCAAAATTTAAAAATAAAAATCATAAACAATTATATAATTATAATTAGAAATTTATAATAAAATATTTTAATTAATAAAAATGATAAAAAATCAAATAAAAAATGTTTATTTACACAAATTTGAAATAATAAATTAATTATACAATTTTCAAAAATTTTAATTAATTTTTTTTAATAAAAAAAATAAAATACAAATTTCCCTTTATATTTTTTTATTAATAGACTATTCCAACAAATTAACTTTAAAATAATAATAA